ACGCGAGGAAAAGTTTCAGCGATCTAATACGAAGCGTGACCGTCTGTAATCCGGTTCTCCTCTTCCTTTCTTCGCTCCCTGTGCACGATCCCCGCGTCTCTCTTCCTGGTTTCACCGCCGCGTAGGTGGTGCACGACGGGTTCCCCTTTCCACGTTCTGTACTTCATTGTGACTCTTCCCTTCGTGCCTCCTCCTTCCAGCCAACGGAGCTCTTGGAGTCGTAAAGCATGGGTCAACTTTCTTCTCGTACTGTTTGCTAGAATTTTCAACCGGCATCGAGTCTCTGTTCTCCCGGCTCTTTGTATCTCGCGTCGAGCCGCGAACTTCCATAAAAGCAGTTCACAGACAGATTTTTGTCGGACGATAATTACCTGCAAGTCCGACGTACCTTGGAAACGGAATTTGTCCTGAGAGTTCGTCGGACGAAAGTTCCTAGGACGAACTGTGGAAGGGTTTTCGGTCACTTGAAAGTCTCAGTCTTCGCGCTAGATGTTTCTCTTCTCTCCCCGGGTGTCCACGTGTGTATCAGTGAGACTCCTCTCTTCTCTCACCGGGACGTGGGACGATCCTCTCTGTCGGACTCTATATAAGCCAGCGGGAACTCGCAGCCCGGCCCGAGTAGTTCGCCAACGGCGAACGGTTCGTACGGATCTTTCTCTCGGTGACAGTGCGTGTTGGTGCGTGTGCGACTAGAAGAGGTACCGTCAAAAACAAGATGTGTTCGCGGGCGACCAAGGCCACTGACGATTGCGAGCTTGTAAATTTTTCATTCATCGGAAGTCACTTAAAGTCTGTCATGCGTTCATGAGAATTTCCAATATTTCGGACGAGAATTTTTCAGTCGGTTTCATGGGAGGTTCATTTCACCGGGGGATGAATCGACGTTAGTTTTTGCGTAGCGGTCTTTTCGCGTACCGATTCGCGGGTATTAATAGAGCTAGGCTATGATCCGGAGCTTGATAAGGGAGCTTTTCAATGCTTTGCCTATATATAACTCGAACTGGGACGTTTATTGCGTCTAATTTAAATCGGTTCGTGTATCACGCACACGATTCTTCTCGAAGTTTCTTGGTCGTCCGCGGATTTATACGTTGGCTACTACCCACGCGATACCATTTCAAGGAGGCCTGATCGGAGTTCTCGCGGAGATGGAGTCCATCGGCAGAGCTGGCCGAAGCGTCAGTAACGGCGTATACCGCGTGGCAGGTGCATTCGCCCGCGGTGCCAGGAGAGTTCTGTCCTACGTGCCGCTTCTGGGCGTCGCTGCCCCGGAAGACGAGGTATCATCAATTCGTCGATCTTCTAACACCGATTCTTACGACGCGTAAAACGCATTCTGAACTTCGGCCAATAAGATTCTACGTGCAAAGTGCACGTAGGACGTCAGATGCGTTTGAATAGTCGTTCGTCGTTCTCTCTCTTCCCGTTCGCGATACCAAAACGGGGCGACTGCGCTTCCGGCGGAGATAAACCGCTCCCAGGTGTCCAGGGATTAATAGCGGTCGTGTCCGTCGGAGGCGGCGGTTAATTTCGCATTGTGTCCGCGTGGCGTTATCGGTTACACCCGGAGGAGGAGTACTCGTTTCACCTGAACAGCCGATATTTTATTTACGCCCGTCGGTGACTCACCGTTCGATACTGTTTTTTACGTAATAGTCCATTGTTCTCTCTCGGTGTGGCGAGCGGTGCAGGAACAAAGGTAAACCGACACCGAGCGAGAGAAGGCACCCCGGTGGTGCCGCGCGCTATGGCAGAGCAAAAATAGTCGCGGGTACGCGATGGTGAAAGCTCGCGAAACGTTTTCTTGGCTCGAGAAGAACGCGTGAAAATAGCGCGAAAGAATCGCACCCGAGTCAACTCGGTGTTTCCCGTTGTCTCTCCGCGTCGCGCATTCCACGTGGGTGAACGCGAAAAGAGCGAGCTCACCCGCGGATGCCCATCGGGTCAAGGTTCCTTGTGTCGTGTTCATTCTCTGATGGAAGACGGAATCGATGGGAATTAATATCGAAATCGAATTTGCGGCGACCGCCGATCAAACCTCGCGATTCGTCAGAAGGAGAAACGGAAGGGTGGAACACGCGAGACGAGACCTGCCACAGCGCGGACGCGGCCGTTTACACGCCGCTTTAGCCTCTTCGTGGGTTTCGTGTCAGATTTCTATCTCAGTCATTAACGACGGCCGTTTGAATCTTGAAAAGCGTTGATAAACGGGAAGATCCGTCTAGGTACCATTAATTATTCCCGACTCGCGTTCGTCTTTCTCCTCGTCCCAGTCTGAACGTCAAATCCTGTTTTTATATGCAATTTCGGTAGAACTTTTGAAACGTGTACATGTTAGACGGAGAACGAGGAATTTGGTAGCGAATCGTCTTGGACCTGACCTGGGCAATGCTCGATAATTGGGACCCGACGCGTCTCGCCGATTCACCTTGGCGCAGATATTAAGTGCATCTTTCCTCTCGGCTCCGTTTACATGCCAAGACCGATATTACCGTCGGACACGCTCCGGTGGACCGAATAAATACCGCTATCGTAATTCAATTCCGGAGAAGGTCGGTAAATAGGAGAGGAAAAAGAGACGAGTTTTAAAAACGCGGTTTGCCTGTTCAGAACGAAGGAGCAGTTAGGGGTACGTTGGTGCACCTAAAAAATTGTGTCGCACGCCGATAGATTCGAAACGACACGCTACGCATCGTGCTCGTCTCTATTTTCTTTCCCGATGCGACAGGAAATAATCGTTCGAACAGATACACTCAATAACCACCATATCACGCGAATGTATCCTGCGCCGCGTTCAGGGTTGAAAAGCTGCGTTTCCGATCGCTTTATCGTCCCATAAATTTATGCGCCCGTCAGATACAGCATTTCGCGAGCCGGCCGGCACTCGTCGTACGCGTGGCACGTGCTACGCGTCACCCTAGACAGTTTTTTTCGCTTTCGTAACAGGAAATTGATTCTAATATCGGTCTTCACGCGTACCAGCTGTCGTCGACCGATCCCAGCGTAGGATAATTCGTGCGGTTCAACGACTCTGAAGTCGCACGACGTTTCGTCGCCTAACGTTCAAAAATTTTCAATATTTTGACAAAAAAAAAAAAATTTTATTTTTCCGAGATTTTTCCAAGGGGTACCCCTTCAGATTTTGCGAAATTTTCGTTTTTTGCCAATAACTCTCAAACCGTTGGAGATACGGGAAAATTGCATCAGACCATTCTTGTAG